TGGATTAAATTTAATTTTTATTAGTAAATCAATATTTTGATAAGTTATTTACTACTATGAGTATATACTAAGTATATGTATTGAGGGTCACATTTCTATAAATTATGATTTATATTATGTAAGAAATATTATAATGTATTTCAGTTAAATACAGGCAAGTTACTAGGTTTTTTTTGTAAAATCTTTTTAAAAATTATATGTCATGCGTGTTCTATAAAACATCCTAAAAAATTGTGTGTTTGTGGGATTTTATGCCTGCATAATGTATATGGAAAATATTAAGTGTGTGTTTTATATTGTCTGTGTTTTTAATTTATATATTTCGTATATGAAATTAGTATTACATATTAATACAATATTGAATTTAATATGCTATTACAAACAGAAAGTACAAATCACTTTTTTGCAATTATGCAAATGATACTGTTTTGATGTAAATTATATATAATTTATTTTAATAATTAACTAATAAATCTTAGGGTTTACCAACATGAGTTTATATAAGGTTGGTAATATACAATTTATAAAAAAAAATATCTCGGGTTTTCATCTAGCCGGTCTTTATGACCACAAGTATGAGCACCACGCACTAAATATAACTGAATATTAGGTTAATTATTTTTACATTTACCACGTTCTCTGATATAAAAAAACTAAGATCGCAGAACTACTGTAATTCGGGCTTTTTTTTAGTAAAGGACAATTTTTAGACATATTAAATGGTATTATGTTAAATTGTTCTTATTGTTATAAGATTTCTTCTGTTACATGATAACTTATAACTTCGATGTGCACATATGCATATAATTATATCTATTTTGATTTTTTTATTCATATATATGTACGACAATGGTTACCATTGTTTTTTTTTTTTCATTCATTCTTACCGTATATTATTGCCGTGTGATCCCGGCATAGAATAGATCAATTTATCCATTCCCGTGGCTGTTATAAGAGGCAACAAAGGGAGGGCGAGGGATGGGCAGCATCGTCCCTCCAAAGCCTAACCGCAGTTGCCAATCTATCTGCCAAGCGTGGCAACGACATACAAAACATGGTGGAGTCAAGGTGGAGGCTTATATTTAAAGGTGGGCAGTTAAAAGCTGATGATTATCAGTTGTGGTACAAGCACAGATTATATCTTGTGCTATATTTATGTCTAAGTCTTTAGGTATAAGTATATTTTTCTAATCTTGTTTGTACTCGAACTCTCTTCATGCTTATAACATTTGCCTATAAACACTGCCTGTCGTTCATCTCTATGTGCTTAGAATAAATATTGTCTATATGACAGAATATGTGTATTTGATTTGCGAATTTCCCAGAGAGCGGTAAGCCCCGAGGCGGGTGCATTACCGGCGTCGTTCATGTTTTATTTATTCGTCTGAGTCTACCGCGGGAAAGTGGTTGCATTAGTGCCGAATATTCAACTCTTCTTTTTGCTTGTCAGTACTATTTATTATTAACCAAGTCTTTGGTTCAAGTTTATTTTTTTTTATCAGAATATATAGCTCGCACGCTCGTCTTTAATATAGATACAGATATTTATGAATCAAACATTATACAATTATAGTTAGTTGAATATTCGTTAATACAATAAATTTAATTGAATGTAGGTTATATGTTTTTTTACACAACTTAGAATGCCAAACAAGCTGACGGCCCCCCTGATGGAAAATGGTAACCGTTGCCTATAGACATGAGCAGTACCATGACAGAGTATACATAACAGAGTATACTGTTTCGCCCATGATACCCCCATGCGTTGCTATTCCTGAGGACTCAGGTGTATTCCTCTGTACCCTGTAAATTCACTGCCATATACGTATATATATATATATATATATATATATATATATATATATATATATATATATATATATATATATATATATACGTACTATAAAATGGATTAAACATCATATTTTTAAAGAAAAAATCGAAATTGGTTTATAATCGGTGAAGACTGATTATCTAATATACATAAAAAGCAGATAAATTCATACATTCTCCACCGTTTTGAAGTAATTTAAAAAGATTTTTTACTTTAAAAAAGGCATTGGTATCCAGGCCAAAAATCAATAACTATTATTTCTTAAATTAAACGTACCAACATCTTAATATAAAAATAATATTTATTTCTTAAGCGAGTATTTAGAGAGTTTTCTATAGTAAATTTAAATTTCGCTCGCACTTTTCTGCCTATGGGATGAGACGCCATCCTGTTTTTGATATGTTCAACCAGAGACTATATATTAATATTATATTTTCTAAGTTATTAACATATATCTATGTATATGTATATTGTATCTATGTGGTAATAAAGTAAGAATACACACATTTATTCCTATAGTATAGGTACAGAATAATGTAAGAATTTTTACTAATGTTTTGTAGGTACTATGTCCATAGCTTAATAAATTGATCTAGATATAAGTAATTATAAGGTTATTAAACTTTAACAACATAAAACCACTTATACTATTTTAAATATAGTTACACGATACACTTTAAGCTTATCTAATTTTCAGAGGGTATTTTATATGCAAAATGGCATTAACATAATGAGATTCATTCAAACCAAGCACTTGCTCAATTCAATTCTGACCACTGAATTAATTAGGCTAGTATTAACAAATTGTGACCACAAACCACCAACGGACACGAAATTAAATTATTTATGTATTAAAGCAATACGATAAAATTCTAATAAGCGCATGGTTTTTGATCCTCGGATAAATGAAAGGGCACAGGGCGCCCCGCTGGACAAAGCAATGATATAAATTATTCTGGAAGTTTCGTAAATACTATTAGCAAATAAATTAGTAAAATTTTCTCAAGGATATGAAATTTTATAGTGAATTTTATGTATTCATTTGTGAGTTAAATTATGTAATGTACGGATTTTTATTTGTATTCGTTGTAAAAGTAATATAAAATCGATTTGATATATTCATAGTCATATCATCATATCAGCCTTTAACTGTCTACTGCTAAACATAAGTCTCTGCATAAGCATAAGGGGTTTTGCCAATAGTTGCCATGTTTGGCAGGTGGATTGGCAACCGCAGTTAGGCTTTGTAGATGTTTTAAGAGGGATGTTGCTCCATCCCTCGCCCTCTCTTAGTCGCCTCTTACGACACCCACGGGAAAGGAAAGGGTGTCGGGTCTATGCCGGGACCACACGATCATAGTATGTTTATTATAATATTATGGTTACAAGTACAGTACAAAGTAAGTCTATCGTAATTACGTTGACTTATTACAATACTTTGTGATAAGTTCAATTAAAATCAATATTCAAATAACAAATGATTTACATTAAACCGCGTCATCGGAAGATAAATATTTAGGTAAGTATTTTATCAAACCGAACTTTTGACTCTCAATGCAAATCCCGCGATCATGTCTATTATGATCTGTTTGAAACAAAAGATTCAAAAATTAACATATTTTGACTAATCATTGTTCTTTGGAGAAAAATTTTCACTTTCATTAATATCTACTATTTTAGCCTATTATACCCATTTCGATAAATAAATAAGATATAGTTCATTATAATATTTTATAAAATGAAACAATAACACTTAATATTAGGTACCTATTTCATTATTGCTTAGCAATGTTAGAACAATGGACATTAATTTGTTTATAATTGCTCGTATTTCATATTGGGTCATTATTTAATGTCTTTATATCCACGTTGTATCTCCGGGGTACCCCGGCCGCAGGCTTAAACTAATTAGGCCCCCCACACTGTGTCAATGTTGACACGAGACTCAGTTTAATGCGTGTGTCTCCATTAGTTTGTTGGACCTAGTAACGTGCCGAGTCGTTTTCGTATTCGAGTATATCATCCGACTATAGTACTTTTTAAATTGATTTCCAAAGTTGTCTTTTTTATATAGTTCGCTAATATAATAAGGATAAACTGGACAGAAAAAGTAACGAATTAGGAAGTTTTGAAAGGGTGAATGAGAAACGAATATTAATAAAAATAATAGAGAATAAAAGAAGCAAAATGTTGAGCCAACTCATACAACATGATGAAATTTTAAAGAGCATAGTAGAAGAAAAAGTAGAGAGCAAAAGAGGAAGGAGAGGACCGAGAAATAAGTACATGGGACAGATAAAGAAAACACTAGGTGTCATGTCGTATAGGGAGGTTAAGGATATGGCCTGGGTTAGAGCTGGCTGGACGAAGATACATGAATTATTTGCACCGATATGAGGAAAGTCTTAAATTAAAAGAAAAATATAATGATGAAATTATATGTAATACTAATTTCCCATTTAGTAATTAAGGAAAAAAGTATTTAATGAAACAAAGAATTAAATTATATTCGAGTAAATTTAAATTTAAGTATTTTTGAACAGTATTTTTTTTTAATTCTACCACCCATTTGGAATGCACCATTCAGAGTACTATTAGATATTCGAATTAGTACACAAGTCAGGTCGACTCGGAACATCACTAGACTGGGCTTGTCCACCCTTAGTTTAAACACCCCGTGTGCTGTGACAATTCGCCAAAATTGATTTGTGTTCGTTTGATCATTGTGAGCTGAGGGAATGTACTTTGTTAGGAGACCAGTTTTATCTTGTTATTTCCTGGTATTTCTTTTTCAAGGGGATAGTTTGTTTGTTTCTTTACTCTATAGAAGGGTCTTAGCGAATTGTTAAGCTCGACTAACATTTAGCTGTACATTCGCATCAGTATGTAAACAAATAAATGAAATGACAAAGTTACTTTAAGTATATTTATCCTATTAATCTTATTAATATAGTAAATGTGAAAGTTTGCAAAGATGTTTGTATGTTTGTTACTCAATCACGTTTAAGCGGCTAAACAGATTTAAATGAAATTTTGTATATGGGTAGATTATAGTCTACATTAATGTATAAGATATTTTATATTACAGATTCACGCGAGAAAAACATTGGGATAGAGCCAGTTTATGTGTAATTGATTTAAATGTTTACAGATAAATAAAAAAAAATTATGACATTATTTATCTGTATAATTAGATTACACTGTGCAATAGATGAGAGAAAACATAATAATCACATATGTTATACATGTACTAAATAAGCATTGATTGTAATTATTTTTCAGTTTATTTGTTTTGACTAAATATGAGTACGAGATAGTTAAGACCTTCCCCGCGTTCGCTCTGGAAGTGTAGTGTGACAGAGGTTGAGCCTACGCCTCCTTCCTTCACTGTAACTTCTGCTTTCGTTCGAGACAGATCACGTGCGATGATTCCCTGGAAACACAAAGAAAAAGTATGTCCAAAACTGTACTCTCTAATGGGGTAGTCAGGTATATGCTAAAGGTTATACATGTGGTGAACGTAATACTCAACGTGCCCTATTTTACTGAGTTTATTACAATTTAATGTGGTAAAGACAAAGCTTACTGCTGTTACTTGAATTAATTTGATTTGTTATTAGTATTTCCACGACAGAAAAGTCACTTGAATATTTAAATTGAAATAAAATTTTTGTAAATAATTGATTTATTAAGTAATAATTAATTTTACTATAAGTATATTTATTTATCTGATTTCACGTTAGGTTTTTTAAGGAGTCACCATAGAGAAGAGAATACTGCTATACAAAACTAATCATATTATTAATCATAATTATTTGGATTATATCCATACAAAACGGTTAGTTCGATTTCATTGTAACTCAGTCTCAACTTTCTTCTTCCGCGTTGTAAATTTTCCTCATTCTTTCATTCGACATTTTATTATATGTATAAAACAATTGAAAATCAGTAATGTCAATCACTATATATAACTTTCCGAATATTGCGTTAACTTGCGTTATGCCCTTCCTACGCAAAACATAACGTTGCCGTCGGTACAAGTCGATTTATGTTAATACTAAAACGCTGTATTGAAATTAGGTACTTCTAATCCCGAGATGTCTTGCGCAGTTGCAATGACGTATCTAACTATTCCTGCTAAGTACGTATGTAAATATGTTGTCGAGTAACGAAATTAATTGAAAACAATAGATTTATTATTCGATATTGACTAATTAATGCTTGTTTTAATAAATACTTCATGATACTTACTATTTTACTATTCAATGTTTCATTTATTATTCGCCATCTTGATACTTAACTTTAAATAACTAAACTATATTACTTAAATTATATTACTTTAAAGTTTAAAGTAAGTGGAAACGCAGTATATAGTGTCCATAAAATAGTAAAGCTATTACTCACCTTAATAATTCTTTGTTTCGGATCAACATAAGTATAATCCTTGTCTCTTTTAAATAGCGGTATCCCACTGTAAACAACTTTCTCCGTCGATATCAGTAAATTATTAATTCTCGTACCGTCAACGAAGTCTTTTGCCTCATACGCGGACAAATACAACAATAGCAAACACAGAACAAATATTATTCGCTTCATTTCAACAATTTTTTGCTAATGAACATTTTGGCGTGGTGAAGCAAGCGTTGATATTTATTTACTGACTTCATACTGAGTCATATACTTACATAGTTCATAAGGCCATGAATTTATCAACGCTAAACACGTTTTAACCTTCTATATGAGGAATATAATGTGTCCTGCTGGTCTTTACGTTGTTTTAATATGGTAAGTAGAATGTAGATCATTTGTTAATTATAATTTAAAATTTTAATTTTCTAATATATAATAATAGAGTTACTGACTGAATCTTATTAAGTTACATATAAGTCTTAAATTATTGTGTAATTTAGTCATTAAAAGAATGCTATAATAATTATCAGTGTGTGTGTGTGTGTGTGAGAGAGAGAGATTTAAAAATAGTATTTTGTCCTTGAAATAGGATATACTTCAGAATGAAATATCTGGCAGAGTATACTCTACTTAGAAAACGCCAATAAACTTTTATAACTTCAAAATTTTTCGTTAGAGTTTTGTGACTATAATACAACATTAAGCAATTTACAGTTTTTTAATGCAACTTAGAATGGCAAACAAGTTTACGGCCCACTTGATGGAAAATGGTAACCGTCGCCTATAGAAATGAGCAGTACCATGGACATAATAGAGTATACTGTTTCGCCCATGATACCTCCCATGCGTTGTCATTCCTGAGGGCTTAGGTGTTATTCCTCTATACCCTGTAAATTCACTGTCATATCCCACCCTTCAAACCGAAACACAGCCATGCAAACACAACCGCTTCACGGCAGAGGCACGAATGGGACAGAGGTGCCCAAGCAAACGACTTTTGTCTGAAGTCCCTCTGGTAGTAGTAGTAGCTAAAGTAAAATTGATATGTATGAACGCTATAAGAATATTATAACCTGAGAATTTATTCGAATGAATTGGAATGGAAAGTAGCGTATATTTTCAATGAAAATCATGATCTATTTGTGTTTTTCAAATCCGTACAAAATAAAGATAGATTATTATCCTGTGAATGCGTTTAAAATGATAAAAACAGTATAACTATGAATGTAATAGGAATAAGGTAGTTACAATTTCGCTCAGTCATGTTTCTGATATTACACCATATAAGTGATAAAAAAATGATTGTATCTCGACTTTAAACTGGGATAATATTATTCTATAAACAAGAAAAGAATATCAAATGCGTCACATATTCTGAATGTAAATGTTTTAACTACTTTCTACGCGTGGTCACCATAACCAATTCATTCTTTGCTTAAAGTGTGTCTGATGTATATAAAAGCTCATTCATGCACATAGCCACATAAACGGTAGTTCTAAAATTACGAAGCAAAATGCGTTGATATAGTTAATTTACTACCAGCCTTACTACAGCGCAATGCACTTTGAAATGGCAGCGCAATAGAATTGTCTTTCATGACATTTTCACGCGTTAGTCCATAAATGTATTGGATAGGGGTACCACTGAATAAAAAAATATTTTTGTAATCACCCGTGTTCTTCTTGCTGTTACGAGAAAAGGTAACCCAATAATTGAAGGATTAATGGATTTGTATGTAAGAGCAATATTGGGTTATTTGTTGTGTGTAATTAAGTAGATTTGAAACAATAATGTTTTCTGATAGGATAGATGGCAGCCCTGTTGCTGGATGTTATTTCAGACTCATCGAGCCACGTCATCCGCTTTGATCTTCCCTCGACTTTTTGCTGAGAACTTGTTTAATGTGACGACAAATAACTCAAACAGGAACGCGGGACTCTTTTTGATTTTATCAAAAGTGTGTACAAGATGTTTTAGCGTTTTAAATGCGTATACTTCATTAGTGAGATCACCCGATGGTTTCTGTTTGCAAACGGTTTGAAGTTCGCCTTTCAATGTTTGCTTTGAATGAGTGCTTTTTGTGGGTGTACCTATATTTTTTTGCAGTTTTTTTTCGAGTACATCTGTGTTCATGTTTGGCATTGTATTGTAATGAGTTTGGCGAGCTGGTCGTTCTGTGGTCGTAAATAATGACTTCATACACGTAATACTTGTTTTACACATGTAAAATGGCTGACTCACCACGAGTTTAACCTGCGGGTATGTGATTGTGAATCCATAACTGGAAGTAAAGCTATAATTTCGCCATAATATGGTAAACCTTATGGCACTACGAAGTGTTAACCTTATAAAGCAAAATTATATGTTGACGAAATTAGACTGCTTATGTCATATGCTTGATATATACATATATATGAGTACTGTATAAGAATTTACAATGTAAGACAGAAAATATTAGTGCATAGGTACAATGTGCACAGTTATGCACAATGCATCTTTTTAAGGTTGCCATTTATAATTGGGTTTTATTTTGATATTAAAATTATAGATTTCTTTTCAGATATAAATAAGGATTCTCCAAATCGATTTAGACCGGACAGGGTTATGAGGTAACAAACATGAAATAAATACAACCGAATTGAAAATATTTTCTGTTTGAAGTTAATTGAAATTGTGTTGTGTATTATGTATGAATCACCAGACTTTTACAGTTCCTTCGTTTACAATTATTATATGTGTGTTAATGAAAGCTAGGTGCATACTTAATATACGTATGTTTGTATGTAACCATATTATTATATAAGGTATTAAAATTAACTTTAAATATACTTAATATAGTTAATTTAATTTTCTGATATCATTCATCCGATCGAAATGTAAAGTAGACTAATAGCAACGTCGAGACATCCATTTGCCGTGATTGAGCCGGTATACAATAGAGCGATGCCAGCTCACAGAGCAGAAATCGGATAAATTGGCGGAATATCCGTATTCGAAAATGTCGGATACGGTGAAGCTTAGGATTTTCTACGTACACACAAGCCGAACTAAAGCGGAATACAGTATGGTTTAACATAAATAGGTAAGGATTTAGGATGTAACTGAATTGTAAATAGGGGTTTGAATACTGTTAAGTAATGTACTTTTATATTCTGTTTTTGTTATTATCAAGAATATTTTATATGTATTCTATTTAGTATATTATTTAATTATATATAATTATCTTTGTAATGTTGAACATATCGACCGTGGATTTTTTTTTATATTACCTCTAAACGAAGTAAAATTTCCTTTGGATGTACAATGATATATATATATATATATATATATATATATATATATATATATATATATATATATATATTAACCATGTTTATGTATTAGTATTTTAATTTATTATCTTATTATAGTACGTAAATATATATTATATTTACAACGAATGTAAATGTCTACTTTTTTTTCACTAAATGAAAATGGAAAGGTCCGCTTGTCTATGCCAACAGTACATAATGGCGGGGTACTAGTGACAAATGAAATGATGGGGATGAAGTTAGTTGTTACAACCTGGTGAATTTGGTAGGAATTAGCCACGATTTCAGAAATAAATTCGTGGACGTCAATCTGACAGAGCATATTAATATCAAACTATCCTTTCCATTTGGAGGGAAAAGGAATAATTAGTAATGGGGCATAATGTTCCACTGCTATCAATATACTCTATCAAGTTAACTTCCACGTGGTCCCCTTTGGAAACCATGGTTGAATTTTGTGGAATTCGTTACGATAGGCTAACTGGCCTGCTTACTATCTATACTACCTATCAATTCGCATTAGTTACGGGGTTACTATTCCATTTTCACCCTATAAAAAAACCTCTCCATTTTTAACAATTCCTTCCCCATGTTCTAGTCTAGAGGTAAACACAAATATGAGTAAAGTATTTGAGATTATGGCTGCTCATATAATATGAGCATAATTGAGTCGACTCGGGTCAGTCAAATCAGTCAACCAATCCCCTCTATGAAAGCGAATTGATATTTCCTCTTCCCGACATATTCATAGTTAATTGCGTTTCCGGACGTCACTCATTGTTTAAGAGGCGATCGATGAATTGTAATGCATTATAACTAGCAGCATTAAAGCGAAAAGTTGAAGCTGCTTTATTATTTAAAGTGAAATACAATTAGATTTATTTTTATAGTAGCCATTGTTATGGTAATAAAAAAAATTATGAGAATTCTTAATTCTTTATATTCCTTTGATCATAAATTTTTGAATAGATTAAATGGAAGAGATACAAAGTAATGTTTACTAATAATTCATTATTATAACATATTCTAATAAGGTGTAAGTTTTTAGAATATGTTCTCCATTAGACTACATTCTATTTGTATATTTACGATAGATTTTGGATAATATTGAGACGTTTGGGTGTCTGTCATTCAATTATGCTTAAACAGCTGAATGCATTTGAATGAAATTTTTATTATTATATTTGGAAGGCTATATTTTAAGTTACCACATAGTGTACATTATATACCTATTTACGCGGACAGAAACGCTGGAAATAGCTAGTACTTATTAAAAATTTGTAAGATTTCTACACACTTTTTTTTTCAATAAAAGGAGCAAAAAATTAATATAAGTTTTTAATGAACTCCGAAAGTGAATGAACTTTAGAAATATTTTGTAGATCCCTTCCCTTTAAAGTCTCTAGACTACACTCTCTTCTTATGAGATCTCTACCTATAGCAATGTATTGTTAAGGTAAGGCTATCCCATAAAGCCTCACATAGTAGTGTTAACTTATAATTGTTACGATTTACACGTAAACATCTGCTATAACCATTGTAATTTTAATATAACATCATATAACTAGCGACAATAAAGATTTCTATTATTACATTGCGTGGTAGGAATTAATGTGGTGATTTTTTCAGTAAGCAGCGTGTTCGCGATACGGCAGCGACTGTAAATTATACCATAATTATATAGCACTGGTGTTTTAGTTAACGAACGCGATAAACTGCGTTATAAATGTTAATCAATAAGCTTATACTACTACGACCCCTATAATTTTCGATGGCAGTAATTTTGTTCGATTCTTCGTGTCCGGTAACAGACTTTAGTCGAGTTACAATAAGAGTGAATAATACAGATATTTATATATTTCAAAATGCACCTTTTTGGTAATAAACTCGTATAATATATAATGTTTTTATTTATTATTTTATGACTTTTAAATGGATTTATACTATGCG